CAAACATCTTGAAAGAGGCGCCTTTTTTGGTTCCTCATTTGTGACTCAAGCTTGAACCCACTCCAGCCTGGCCTCTGCCTTCACCACTCCAGCTAAATAATTCATGTCACCATTGACCTCCATGTTACCCAAAACAATCGCCGTATTTCTCTCCTCTCATCAGAAGGCCTCTGACCAACATTCAACAGTTGCCCTCTCCCTCCTTCTTAGGAGGTTCTCTCTTTTGGCTTTATAATATCACACTCTCCTGGTGTTTCGTTTTTCTATTTTTTTGTTGTTTTTTTTGTTAATCTTCACCTGAGGATATATATTTTTTAAAATATGTTTTTATTGATTTCAGAGAGGAAGGGAGAAGGAGAGAGAGATAGAAACATCAATGATGAGAGAGAATCATTAATTGGCTGCCTTCTGCATGCCCCCTACTGGTATCAGGCCCAAAATCCAGGCCTATGCCCTGACCGGGAATTGAACCCTGACCTCCTAGTTCATGGGTTGACACTCAAACACTGAGGCACACTGGCCAACCCTGCAGATATTGATTTTTAGAGAGAGTGGAAGAGGGGGGCGTTAAGAGAGATAGAGAGAGAGACATTCAATGTGAGAGTGACACATCTATTGGTTGCCTCCCGCAGAGAACCTGACTGGGGCCAGGATCGAACCTGCAACCCGGGTACATGCCTTGACCAGGAATCAAACCTGAGATCCTTAGGTGCCTGGGCTGAATCTAACCACTGAGAAACACAGGCCAGGGCTACTTTCCTTCTCATCTCCTTAGCTGGGTCTACCTCATCTCCTCCAAACTCTAAGTGTCCTCAGACTTTGTTCTGGGCTCTCACTTTTTATTTCTCTATACACTCAAACAAATGTAAATAGTATCTATATGCTGGTGGCTCTCTTCAATTATATCTCCACCTCAGAACCTCCTTTCTGAGCTCCATGCTTGTATATCCAATGGTCCTCTTGACATGTCTGGTTGGACAGCTTCCAGAGATCTCAAACTTAACATGTCCCAAAGTGAACTCTCATTTCAGTCCAGAGCTTTCACCTAGTAGGCTTCTCCACTTCAGTAAATGACAGGACCATTCTCCCTGTTGCTCACTCCAGAAATTAGGGAATGTGCTTGATGCATCCCTTTTCTTCAGCCTCATATCCAATCCACTGGCAAGTCCTGATTCTACTTCCAAAATTCATCTCTAATCATCGGCTCTATCCCATGTACATCCATGCTACTGGCCACATCATTTCTCACTGGGCTTAATGCAGTAGCCGTCTAACTAGTCATATAATTTATCATCCAAACCAATTCCTTTTCCAGAATGAAAAGGGGGCATTATTAATAATTAATCCATTCTAGATTAAGGCCGCAGGGGTTAATCTAGAATGTCCTAGCAAAACAAAACATGTAGTTAACCTACCTCTCAGTCTAGCATACAGTAATAATCAGATCACTTCTCTTAAAATTTTTGCTTAAAATCCTTCAGTGAATTCCAATTTCCCTTACAATAAAATCCAAGTCCCTACCTTGGCCTACACAGCACCGTGTTATCTGTTCTTGAAACCCTTCAGCATCACCTGATGGCACACCCACTCATGCTTACAATCCTCAAATCCCACCAGCAAACCAAGCTCTCATTTGCCACAGAGCCTTGCACATGGCATTTCCTCTACCCAGGACACTCTTCTGCTTGCTGTTGACATGGCTGGACCTCTCTCGTCTTGTGGGTCTTTCCTAAATCACTCTTTCTTAAGAGATACCTTCCCTGATCACCCTGGCAGGCTTATCCTGTGTAGTCTTTCCTTCTTAACAATTTCTGTAAGTGGGATTATTTTATTAATTTTTTTGGTTATTCTTCTGATTTTTGTTTAGATTACCTTCTGGTACACCTTCTTCCCTGGAGTATAAAATCAATGAGAGAAGTGACCATTTCTGTCTTGTTCACCCATAAATATCCAGTACCATGCCAGTGCCTGGCATATGATGGATCTCAACAAATGCTTATTGAGTGAGTGAATGATTGGATTACTTTGTTAGTTACTAATAAAATGGTTTTCTTTCCTAATAGGTCAATATAGTTATAAGGAGCTAATAAAGATAGAGAAGGGGGAATAACACCAGATTCAAGGGGACCCAAGAAGCAGCAGGTTTAAGCCCACAGGGATGGTTAACCCCAAAGCAAGCAGGAACGTCTCTTGCTCTGAGAAAGGGAAAAGGATATTGAGAGTGAGGTCAGGGGATGAGACCATTTGAGAGGGAGGACAGGAGACCTGTGGGAGTCCAGCTGTGCTTGCTCTTGCTGTACTTGATGTCCCTGAACTCGTCACACTCCACTGCGTTGGCTCATTTGCTTGTCTGACTTTAGGGCACGTAGGCAGGAAACCCGAGATAAAAGGAACGTCTGTCTTTTTGTATGTCATCCCTGTATCCACAGTACCTGTCACAGCACCTCGCCTGTAGCATACACACTTACTAAATACTTGTTGAGATGAATGAAGTAAGAGAAGTATAGCTCAGAAGTTGACAGATCAGGGTGGACGATTTGGGAGTTGGAGAAAGCATGTATGATTGATACAATTTTTGATTTGCAGGACATGGTAATGAGTCACTTTACAGTAGCGATGTAAATCCATATCAAAATATCTACTACCATACCAACAAAAATAACATTATTTTATCATATAAATTTATTTTCTCTTGAAATGCTTTACATGTTCTCTCATAGAAAAAAAATTAGGACCCTAAAGTATAATAAAGTACTGTATTAGTCATCATGGTATACGATGAAAAGCCTTGGGAGAAAAGAAATACTTGGAATTTCCACTGTGCTGACTATCAGAGGGGTAAGTTAGCACAAAACACTGGGAAACTAGTGGAGGGAGAACAAGGACAGACACACTGTATTTCTCTAAGACACCAGGACTAAAAAATGCATCATGATTTACATACCGCCAAGGAAAAAATTGCTGTTAATTCAATTAAGACATAATGGTTTCTCATTACTCAGACTTTTCATTCCACATTTATTGAGAAAATTCTTTTGGACCCACTTAGACATAGATTTTTATCATACATCACTCTCGTGTATATAAACAAAAAGGAAAACCTACATAAATTTATAAGTTTTCCTAAAGCAAATGACAACTGTTTCATTAGTATAGCCTGGTCATTAGTGAATGTAAGACACGTCCTAATTTCAGAAATTTATAATCAAAGCATGTGTGTTTAGAACTGCTGAAACGTAATATTTAAACTTAAACTACAGATTCTCTCATTATACTTATTGAAAGAAATTAATCAGCTTTGAGCCATTATTGACCACAAAGCGTGATGATGGTGAACCTGAGGTCAAGTTCAGCTTCACACAGGCTGCTCAGACATGGGGAACCTCCACTGAGCCAAACCAGCTGGGGCTGGGGTAGTAATTTAGTTAAGAAGTAGCAGGGTTTGTATGTACAGGCTCTCCTGAACTCTGGTGTTAAGGGTGTCTCTCTCAGCCCCCTGGAGCAGGGAGGGTACCTTGTACAGGGGAGATTTATTTTTGCACCCAGGGAGATAAGGCAGGGTTGGCGTCCCTTTCTGCATTGGCTGCTTGTCAAGTGACTTTAATTCAAAGGAATCAATACACCATTGTGGGATATTTTGGAGCAGCCTGCCCCAGGCCCTGATAGTACCTGGCATCTAAACACTTCCTCTCCCATTATGAGGAGGGGTGAGCCGAAGCAAAGGTCCCACCACTTGACTGCCCACAACTAGGAGGCCAGATTATTTTTATTTATTAATGAAAGATTTTAAAAATTAAAGTGTAGTTGGCATATAATATTATATTAGTTTGAGGTGTAGAGTATAGTGATTAGACATTTAGATTCCTTATAATGTGGTCACCATGCTAAGTCTAGTAACCACATATCACCGTGCAGAGTTCCTGGAATAACATAAGGGAACCCGCTCAGATAATACACTTCCTTGTGGCTGAGCCAGCTGAGCAGGCCTTTTGTGGTGGAAGCACCTTCCAGGGCACCCGGGAGATTTGGTGAGCTAGCCTGTCAGGTTTGAAGCTCAGGGCTATAGATATGAATTAAGAAGGGATTTCATTTTTGACACATCTACTATCTGACCATGCAGAGACCATCCTGAGGGAATGACCACTAAAGCAAGGTCCTGGCTGGAGGAGATGGCCCCTCACTGCACACCTTCCAACAGCCTGGGTACCCCATGCTGGAGGCCCTCACCTTTCCTCTCCGCATTCAGGTGGCCCTGCCTTGGCCCCTTCAACTCTGACAGCAGAGGCACCCTGACCCGTGGCTTCGGGGCAGAGCGAGTCTACTGTGTTTCTTGAGGGTTACACAATGAGGAAATGACCTTTGCATGAAGACAACCACTGCTGTCCAATAAGTGTCATTTGTGCCTTTTTAAGAGAAATGATCCAGAGGGCATTTCCCCAGGTGCCAAATCTGGCTTCTCTTCCTGCCCCCCTCCTCCCCCATGATCCAGCAGGGAGGGCTCAGCATCAATAAATAGCAGCCAGCTGTCCCCAGCAGGCAGGGACCAGCAGCTCGGCTCCACCAGAGACCAGGTGAGGGGCCACTCCCAGGAGGCCTTGCTCTACAAACCTTACTCTGTTTTCTCTTTCCAACAAGACTGTACATTCATTTAAAATAATTACTCTCTTCTGCATTTGTGCTGTATGGGGTCTGTGCTGGCCGAGTGGCACAGGGTAATGCTTTTGGATTCATTACAGGCTGCTCAGGGGATTTGGTCCTAACGGCTCTGTTGCTCCCTCAGTGCCACCTTGGTGACCTCAGTCTTGGGTTCAGGGTTGATGGGTTCAGAATTGAGGACTGTGGCTCTGAGTGAGGTCCTACTGCAATGTTTCCTAGATGGGCAGCCAGCGTCTCAAGAGAACAAATGGAAATGCACAGCCAGGCTGCCTTTGACATACAAATCCCAGAAGGAAGTGTGCCAATCTTGCCTACTTCTCTCTGACCCTCCCCTTTCATTTCAGCACCATGAAGCTTTTCACCAGCCTCGTGTTCTGTTCCTTGGCCTTGGGAGTCAGCAGCCAGGGCTGGTTTGACTTCATTGGCCAGGCTTATGACGGTAAAGTCCCTTGGGGGGGTGTGGAGGATGGAACCCAAGGCCACTAGGATTTCACCTGAGAGCCCTTCAGGGTTGGGGCTACTGTGTTAGTTTGTGTTGCCCCATGTGGTAGAATGTGCTGGGTGTTTCGGGAGCTTTTCATCAAACACATGAAAAAACCGCAGGACTTATTTCAATCAGTTACTAGAGAAAGAATAATCATCATTCCCAGGTGAAAGGTAAGTTTGATAGAAGACACAATAGGTATTGAAATGGTATACATTTTCCCTCAGAGCAACTGCACAAAGTATGATTAAAGTTATCCATCTTTTCTTCCACTCCCCATCTTTTCTTCCCCTCCTCCCCTTGCCCTCTCTCTTGCTTCTCCCTCCCTTCCATTTCCTAACTGGGTAGTTTAGTGAGACCTGCAGCTTAGCTCTTGCTGGGGCTTCCTATAGTCAGGTACACTGTCCCTGCTTTAGTCTGTTTCCTACCCTTTTCCAACCTTTAAAAAAAAAAATTTTATATTTTTATTGATTTCAGAGAGAAAGGGATAAAGAGAGAGATAGAAACATCAGTGATGAGAATCATTGATCAGCTGCCTCCTGCATCCCCCTATTGGTGATTGAGCCTGCAACCAGGCATGTGCCCTTGGTCGGAATTGAACTTGGGGCCGTTCAGTCCCCAGATTGACATTCTATCCACTGAGCCAAACTGGCTAGGTCCTCTTCCAGCCTTTTAACTGACCAAAAGGCAACTAGTAACATCCATTGAGCCCCCTCTAGGAAGTCAGCACATCCATGTAATTTAGGGCGCCCAACTCTCCTGGTGTGCCTGGCTCTGGGGAGTTTTCCATGACAATTTCAGTGCTAACTGGGACAGTTCAAGGCAAACAGGGACAGTTCTGGTCAACCTGGGACAGTTGGTCACCAGTCTAAGTGGAGAATAACTTGGTGGGCAGGCATCTTCTCCTACTTTGAAGCTGAGAGCAGCTGACTCAGGGGACCAGGCACTACCTGCCAGTCAGCAGGTGGCAGGGCAGAGTGTGAACCCAGCTGTGCAAGGGGCCACAGCTCTTGCCAGGAAGATGTGTCTGAGCACCGCTTCCTAAAGCTCAGAGGTCACCAATCCCAGCTACCTGCTGGAATCACCTGGACACATTAAAAACGACAGAGGCCTGCGACCTACCCCCAGAGAGTCTGAGGTGATGGGCCTGAGATGTGGCATCGGCCTTCCACAGCCTCCCCAGATGATGAGAAGGTGCAGCCAAGGCTGAGATACAGGCCTCTGCTCTGGCACTTGCCTGCTCACAGCCTCAGCCCAGTCTATGTGAGCGGTTTCCAGGATGCCACGTATGCCTCTCACACTCAGAGGGACTCATGTCAGGATTCCCTGCATTCTGTCAGCAAGACTCCAATTCTTTTTCTTTTTTTTAATATATTTTATTGATTTTTTACAGAGAGGAAGGGAGAGAGATAGAGAGTTAGAAACATCGATGAGAGAGAAACATCGATCAGCTGCCTCCTGCACATCTCCCACTGGGGATGTGCCCGCAACCCAGGTACATGCCCTTGACCGGAATCGAACCTGGGACCTTTCAGTCTGCAGGCCGATGCTCTATCCACTGAGCCAAACCAGTCATGGAAAGACTCCAATTCTTAGGCATCAGGCAGAAGTGCTGTTCCCTTGTGCTTTTCTCACAATCTGCTTCCCATGTCACCACCAGGCTCACAGAGTCCCCTGAACACTAGCCTATGTAGCTTCGCTCCACATACCAGAGGTTCTTGATCCTGAGCCCCTTGGTGCCCCCGACACATGTGGCCATGTGGGAAACACTGCTGGTTGTCACATGGGGATAGGCTGCTGCACCTACTGGGCAGAGATGTGGGGATGCTGGGGAGCCTCCCACCTTGCTCAGGAAGGCCCTGAACACAAGGAATTCTCTGGCCCCAAATTTCAGCAGCGCTGACATTGAAATCCTGTCCTGTAATGTGGCCTCCCTGACTCCTTTAAACATATGCCCCAGAGGCCTCAGTGAGCTGGAGCCCACAGACAGCATGACAGGCATCAGGCCACCACATACAGCCCAGCTGTGCCCCCACCAAAATGTCTCTCCTTAGAGTCACCTGGGGAAGCCAACTGGGCCTGGAGAGTGTTCTTCTCAACCTGTGGTCTCCAGGGTGCCAAGACCACAGGGTGAAACTGAGTCAGTGGTCCATTTTCTCCCTTGATTCTTCTCTAACGGGTGTCACGGTTCTCGGATATTTTACCTGATGTCTCTGTGCCATGTCCTTTCCTTTCCAGGAGCCAAAGACATGGGGAAAGCCTACTCTGACATGAGAGAAGCCAATTACAAAAACTCAGACAAATACTTCCACGCCCGGGGGAACTATGATGCTGCCCAAAGGGGACCTGGCGGTGCCTGGGCTGCTGAAAAGATCAGGTAAGCTGGCTCCTGGGGATGCTGGATGGGTGAGCAGGGCTTGGCCGACTTTGGGGATGTGCAGGATTGTAGGCCCTAGAGAAGGACCCTGTTGGGTTGGTCTGTGGGCTCCTCCTCATGTTCTTCCTTCCACCTTCTCCATCCCTGCCCAGCACAGGGCCTGGGCTGCCAGCAGAGCCAGAGAATGGCTTGTGGGCCTGTCCCCCAAAAAGAGAAACTAAGGCCAAAGATTGATTCCCACTCTCCCCTATGGGTGCTGTTCACCCAGTGGGAGTGGTCACCCCAGGGCTGAGTGGGCTGTGCCCAGGCAGGGTCAGTGCTTAGCCTTATTCCAGGCTCCTCCCAGAGTCATTAATCCCTCAGAAAGGGGAGGCTGGGGCTGCTCCTCCTCAGCCCCTGATTCACCTCCTACCTGCCCTCCTCCATTCCAGTGATTTCAGAGAGACTTATCCGAGACTCACTGACTTTGTTAAGCATGGAGACAGCGGCCACGGATTGGAGGACTCACTGGCCGACCAGGAAGCCAACAAATGGGGCCGGAGTGGCCAAGACCCCAATCGCTACAGACCTCCCGGCCTGCCTGACAAGTACTGAGCTCCTTCTCTCTGCTCTCAGGAGACGGGGCTGTGAGCCCCCTAAGGGCAGGGACTCTGAGTCATTGAAATCTACATCCCCAGATGCTGACAGAGGGCACATGATATCTGTCTAATAAATGCTCAAGAGTTTGAATGTTGAAAACTTTGTGTAATATTTTGGTATGAGAACTACTTGTTTGGTGTTGAAGGTGATGGATGGACACCCATGGGAAGATCAAGCCTGTGCCTGTGTGTTTGGGTGTAGGGGACAATCTCAGCGTTGTACAGTGCATACACCCTACTAGACACCTTTCCCTGAGTCAGACCTGCTCCTCTCTCCTGGTTCCTTGGTTACCTTTTTGCTTCTACTCACTCCCTGTCAATGGTGTCTATCACCAGCTCAGTCCCCAGGGCCTTGTTTTATTTCCCTGACTTTTATCCCTCAGTGGTCTCTGTCTTTTTTTTTTTTTTAAATATGCTTTATGGATTTTTCACAGAGAGGAAGGGAAAGGGATAGAAAGTTAGAAACATTGATGAGAAAGAAACATTGATCAGCTGCCTCCTGCACACCCCCTACTGGGGTTGTGCCTGCAGCCAAGGTACATGCCCTTGGACCAGAATCGAACCTGGGACCCTTCAGTCCTCAGGCCAACACTCTATCCACTGAGCCAAACCAGTTAGGGCAGTGGTCTCTGTCTGAGGGTAGAGGACACAGTGTTGGGAGGACTGGGCCATGGGATCCTGCTCCAGCATCTACCAACTTTTCTCAGCACATCTGCAAATCAATTATTAACTAATTTCTGCCCGTGCCACCTAAGACACGCCTCAAAGGGGTTCCCTCCACTCTGTTTTTATTTGCCTTATTTTGAGCCTAAATGCAGATGCAATGCCCTCTCATGTGTGAATATTTCCTCACAGCTTCTTCACCTTAACAACCTCACATTGTGGAACTGATAGTGAAGAGAAATTTTGATGCAGGACCATTAATTACTAATAGTATTAACTACGAAGGAGCAAATAACACAAGACGGAATACATTTGAGAAAGGGTGCTCCGCAGGGTTGAGATGTAGAGCTCATTGGAAAGTCTAGCCCATCGGATGGCTGATAAAGATTGCCAGGTGTCAGAAGCCAGAGCTGACAAACAAGAAGTTCCCAATGAGGTGCCCATGAAACTTGGCAGAAACTACCCAGGATGTAGTTGAACTCCCTGGGAATGCGGCTGGGTTCCTGCCAATGCACTTGGATGCAGTGCAGGTGGGGGCAGGAGGAAGAAAGCTGCTGAACTTCCTGGAACCTGGCTGTGGAAGGGGCAGTGCTAATGACTAAATTATGTCCCCCACCCTCAATTTATGTTGATGTCCTAATTTCTAGGAGGCTGTATTGGGATTAAGGAAGTAATTAAAATTAAATGAAGTCGTAAGAGTGGAGCCCTAGTCTGATAGGATTAGTGTCCTTATAAGAGGAGATGAACAGATTGCCAGAGCACAACTGAGGTTCTTGCCAGCCAACCCACAGCCAATATGAGGGTCAGCAAGTTCAGGGTTACAGTCTACATGTCACAAATTCAAGGAAAAGCTCAGTCACTTCCATTCATTGGCGTGTGTTCAGTCCCCCAGGCTGCGACAGTCTTATCTGTGCTCAGAGACTGTCCACTGGTGCCCCTGGAAAGGTAAACAAGAGGAGCACCTGCTGTATGGTCAATGATCCTCGACTACCCCACTACCTGGGAATTACCGTCCCTTTTCAGAAGAGGGAAATGGAGGCCCACAGAAATTAATATATGGAGGCCACACAGCCTTAGCGTTCTGGAAGCTGGGTTTAAACCCAGTTCTCTCTGACTCTAGAATTGGGGCTCTCTCTACTGTAACACGGACCCTCTACTAACGCGGGAATGTCCTATAGTCACCATGCCCCCTCCCCTCCATTGAAATGTAGAATGATTATGAGGTTCTTGTTTGATTTTGTGTCATGTATCACTATTTAAGGAATACATAATTTTATTTTAGTATTGCTTTTTAAAAATATATATTTTTATTGATTTCAGAGAGGAAAGGAGAGGGAGAGACAGAAACATCAATGATGAGAGAGAACCACCAATTGGCTGCCTCCTGCACACATCCCCCCCGCCCCCCACACACACACTGGGGATCGAACACGCAACCTGGGCATGTGCCCTTGACTGGAATCAAACCTGGGACCCCTCAGTCTGCAGGCCAACACTCTATTCACTGAGCCAAACCCGCCAGGGCAGTATTGCATGTGGTATCTACCTTTTTAAAAGCCATAATCTACCTTTTTATTGAATTTATTTGGGTTACATTGGTTAATTAAATCAGTTTCAAGTGTAAAATTAAAATTCTATAATACACTAGAGGCCTGGTGCACAAAATTCGTGAAGGGGGAGGTGCAGGAGGGATCAGGCCTAAACCGGCAGTTGGACATCCCTCTCACAATCCGGGACCTCTGGCTCCTAACTGTTCTCCTGCCTGCCTGCCTGCCTGATTGCCCCTAACCACTCACCTGCCTGCCTGATTGCCCCAACCACTCTGCCTGCCTGCCTGATCACCCCTAACTGCTCACCTGTCTGCTGATCACCCCTAACCACTCTGCATGCCTGCCTGATTGCCCCTAACTGCTTGTCTGCCTTCCTGATCACCCCTAACCACCCCTGCCTCGCCCCCTGCCACTACAACTTCTTCCAGAAGGATGTCCAGAATGACATCCAGAAGGTCGGTCAGCTGTCCGGTCTAATTAGCATATTATGCTAATTATTATTATAGATTATCTGTATATTGTATTGTGTGTCAACCACCCCTAGTCTAGTCTCCATTACCATTTATTTCCCCTTTACCCTCTTCTACCTGCCCCCACCTTCCTTCCCTCTGGTAATAACCATACTGCACTGTTTTCTGACTATCAGGGCTTTTTTTTCTTGATCCTTTCATCTTTGTTACCCAGTCCCCAATCCTCTCCTTTTAGACAGCTGTCAGTCTGTTCTCTGTACCTATGAGTCTGTTTCTATTTTGTTTGTTAGTTTATTTGTACATTAGCTCCCACGTATAAATGAAACCATATGGTATTTGTCTTTCTTTGACTGGCTTACTTCACTTAGCATAATACACTTACGTTTATGGTCTTAAGGAAGCTCAAAATGGGAGGTAGTGTCAGTTGCTGGACCCTCTGTGGGCATCAGGTTGCCTGGGCCACGAGGTGGGCTATCCCCTTGATATTCCAGGCCCTTGGGCCTCTCACTATTGAGTAGGTGGGGACATGCCGTCCTCCCCTGTACCCGAGTCGAGTTGGAGGGTTGCCTAGAAATTAGAGATGGAAGATCCTTCAGTATTTTCTTCAACAAGTCATGAGCTGGGTTCATCTGCAAGCAGGAAGGTCAAGGGGTTCAGCAGAGAGGATCTGCGGATACCAGAGTGGGGGAGGGTAAGGAAGCCTTTGTGTTTGGGGAGAGACAACACAGCCTTAATCTTGGATAACAGATTAAGTCCAGGTAATAAAGCCTCAAAAAACAAACAAACAAAAAAAACCCCTCTCCCATCACCACCTAATGCAGCGGTTCTCAACCTGTGGGTCGCGACCTCTTTGGGGGTCGAACAACCATTTCACAGGGGTCGCCTAAGACCATCCTGCATATCAGATATTTACATTATGATTCATAACAGAAGCAACATTACAGTTATGAAGTAGCAACAAAAATAATTTTATGGTTGGGGGACACAACATGAGGAACTGTATTTAAAGGGCCAGAAGGTTGAGAACCACTGACCTAACAGTTCTTAGCCCAGGTTCCCAGCTATTTTATTTGGAAACCATTCCAGGGAGCAGGAGTGACAGACTTGGGAGCCACCCAGGGCCAGAGCAAGGCCAACATGAGGACGTATTATAGAGTCAGACACGAGTAAAGCTTCAGAGCTGGAGCTCATCCCACCGGGACCTTCTGAGAGACAGAGTAGAAAGTGACCCAGCACGATCCCCGGGAGTGAAATACAAGCACCTATCAACCGGCTTCCATCGCCATTGTCAGAGGCTGGCCCTCGAATGTTCACTTGCTTACATTTCATTGCTGTGCACGTCTGAGTGCCCAGTGAGTTTTCCTGGGGCGGGATGTACAAAGTCATGGAGCAGCCTCAAAGCCAGGTGCTGCCAGGCTGCACCTGCATGAGAAGGATCAAAGCCTCATGGAACTCCCCGCTGTAGCAGTGGCTGGAAACGCCCAGGGGCCAGAGCATCTGAAGGGGTGCATAGCCTTGTCTGATAAACATACCCTGCGCCTTTCTAAAGCCTGCGGAATACCACACGCCTCCCCAAGGTGTGGACGCAGTACATTCTCTCAAGAATGAAGGGACTGATGGAATCTCAGGCTGAGAATAAAAGAAAGAAGAGGAAATTGCACTGGTCAGTCAAGAGGGGAGAGAGGCAGGCGCCTCTGGGAAGGACAGAGAAATGTAAATACCACGGACTTGTGAAATGAACCAGCCATGAACCCTGTGACCTCACACAGACAGAGCCACCTCAGAGGACCCTGACCTGGAGCCTAGAGCCAGGTGAGGCATAGGAAATGCTATGGGGCTATGACAGGGTTAGGGACATGATGGCATTCCTGGCAGCAAGGTTACACCTACTACACACCACATAATATTTTGCTTAAAATAACATGTTTTTGTTATCTTACCAAAAAAAAGTAATTTCCCTGCACAGCAGGCAGTTAAACGCTCCATAACTTCTAAGACCACTTTTCATTTCGCTACACCATGTAGCATTCTTGCCACTGCTGTGAAAGCTAGCGCCTGATGAGCTGGTCCCCAGTAGGTCTGCCCACAGAGTGGTTCCCAGAAATGAATGCTTTGATAATGAGACGGTTCAGTTTGCCAGGAGATGTGAACAGAGCTCGACGATACATACTACAGAGTGATGGTGTGCAGCAAACAAGCCATCTCACTCAGCTGCACTGCCATGAAGCAGTAAGAGAGATCAGGAAACTTTGACCAGCCCCAGAGAGAGACACCCTCAAGCAACTCTCAGAAACTGGACTCACAAGAAATAAAAAGCAAG